TTTTGTTTCCTAGTTCTTTTCGGGGGAAGATAAAGCCTAGTTCTACCAGGTACTCGAAGATCAATACACTGTGATCACTCATTCCCAAGGGTGCTTCCAACCTAACTTTCCTTATATCACATTCATTTAGAGTAAATATCAGATCAAGCATGGCTGGTTCATCTTCCCCTCTCATTCAAGTTGGTCCCTTGATGTGTTGGCTTAGAAAGTTTCACTGTGTTGCCACGTCCAGCAGCTTAGCTCTCCATGTATCTGGTCCTGCATGTGGGTCTCAGTTCTTCCAATCTATCTTCCCATGATTGAAGTCTCCCATGATTAGTAGTCCAGATCCATTCCTGCTAGCGATGGAAGCTGCTCTCTCTATTATGTTAATGGTGGCCATGGTGTTTCTATCATATTCCTGTCTGGGTCTTCTGTCATTTGGTGGTGGGTTATATATGACTGTGACTATAATTTGTTGTCCTCCAGTTGCTATACTACCTGTTACGTAGTCACTGAAACCTTCACAACCCTGAATAACCATCTCCTCAAAACCCCAGCCTTTTCTTACCAGCAAAGCTACACCACAGCCTCCTCTTCCTTCTCTCTCTCTTTCCTCACAACACAGTAGTTCTGTGGGAACACTGCATTTGTTATGGTTTTCGTTAGCTTTGTTTCTGTGAGTGCTATTATATCTGGGTTTTCTTCTAGTACTCATTCTCCAAGTTCATTTGCTTTATTTGTAATTACATCTATGTTAGTGTACATTGCCATGAGGCTCACTTTCTTCTGTCCCTTCTCATATGGCCTCCTTGGTGAGCGTTCTGCTGGTGGGGGAAGCTGTTGCATGGGTGTGAGGATTTGTGAGGTGGTTAACAGGGTCTCAGAGGATTCTGGGGTGAGGGGTGGGGAGTCAAGTGAAGGGAGGACCGGGAGGGTATGGGATGAACGGGGAGGGAGGATAGGAAGGAAAAGGGGGGAGCGGGACATGGTGGGAGGAGGGGAGGAGTAGCAGGATGGGAATGGGTTGTGGGGAGTGAGATTTGGCTGAGCATTTGAGTGGGGGCAGGAAGGGTTTGGGGGTAGGGGAGGTTTCTATGCAGAGGAGGGTGGTGAAGTTGCCCTCCCCTCTGGTGTTACTGGGTTGCTGGTTGTGGGTCCCCCCCCCTCACCTCAGACGATGTTGTGTTGGGAGCTGTGATTTCCTGGTTTTCTCCTCTCGCCCTGCACTTCTTCCTTGTTTCTTCTACCATGGCTCTTTCTCCTCCCTCGTCATGTCCCTCTGGAGAATACTTTTTTGAATTCTCCCACATATTGCAGGTAGCTCTTCCTTGTTAGAATCTTGTCCTTTGTATTCTCGTTTACAAACACTATCTGTAACACACGGCCTCGGTCCTTGTTGTACCAGCCTAACCTGAAAACCTTCTCAGTGCTATGCTCAGCCCCTTCCATCTCTAGTGCCTTCAGTATTTCATTCACTGCCGCTCTGTCCTTATCATTATGCTATGTCCTATTGGAGCCTTCCTCCTCTTTAATACCCACAGCTATCACTGATCTTTTTGCAGGCGATGAGTCACAATAACGTGGCTAAAGTAAGTTGACCAGACCACACACTAGAGGGTGAAGGAACGACGACGTTTCGGTCCGTCCTGGACCATTCTCAAGTCGATTGTGCCATTCTCACAATCGACTTGAGAATGGTCCAGGACGGACCAAAACGTCGTCGTCCCTTCACCTTTTAGTGTGTGGTCTGGTCAACTGATTTTTTTCTTTCCAGCAGCTGACTAGGGGAGTGTGCCGCTTCCTGTGAGGTGGCTGCTTTCATGGCTACCTCCATCACTGTGGACATTACTTCCGAGTTATTTTTTTTTTAAGCATCTCTGCAAATGTTGCTTTTATAATGGCATTCTCTTCCAATATACTATTTCCACCTTCTCCTTGGATGATTATCTGAGTCTCAGCCTCAGTATTACTCTCTTTGAGGGTTTTAATCTCCTCCTTTGCTGCTGTCAGCTCGCTTTTCAGGTTGCTTATTTCATTCTTCATTTCCTGCATCTCACTCTTGATATCCTCCAAATCCTGTGTGTGTGTGTGTGTGTGTGTGTGTGTGTGTGTGTGTGTGTGTGTGTGTGTGTGTGTGTGTGTGTGTGCGTGTATTCACCTCGTTGTGTATTCACCTAATTGTGCTTGCGGAGGTTGAGCTTTGCTCTTTTGGCCTGCCTCTCAACTGTCAATCAATCAACTGTAATTAACTACTAACTAATTCCCCTCTCCCCCACACGCACACACCCAGGAAGCAGCTCTGTAACAGCTGTCTAACTCCCAGGTACCTATTTACTGCTAGGTAACAGGGGCATCAGGGTGAAAGAAACTTTGCCCATTTGTTTCTGCCTGGTCTAGGAATTAAACCCGGGCCACAGAATTACGAGCCCTGCACGCTGTCCGCTCAGCTACTAGACCCAGACTGTGTACTCACCTAATTGTGCTTACAGGGGTTGAGCTCTGGCTCTTTGATCCCGCCTCTCAACTGTCAATCAACTGATGTACAAATTCCTGAGCCTACTGCGCTCTATCATATCTAGATTTGAAACTGTGTATGGAGTCAGCCTCCACCACATCACTGCCTAATGCATTCCATCCGTTAACTACTCTGACACTGAAAAAGTTCTTTCTAACGTCCCTGTGGCTTAATTAGTACTCAGTTTCCACCTGTGGCCCCTTGCTCGCGTACCACACATGTTAAACAGTTTATCTTTATCTACCCTGTTAATTCCTCTGAGAATTTTGTAGGTAGTAATCATGTCTCCTCCTACTCTTCTGTCTTCCAGTGTCCTGAGGTGCATTTCACGCAACCTTTGCTTGTAACTCATGCCTCTTAGTTCTCTGGGACTAGCCTAGTGACATACCTCTGAACTTTTTCCAGGGTCGTCTTGTCTTGACAAGGTACGGCTCCATGCTGGGGCCACATACTCCAGGATTGATCTTACATATGTGGTGTACAAGGTTCTGAACGATTCCTTACACAGGTTCCTGAAGGCTGTTGTGTGTGTGTGTGTGTGTGTATCTTCTGGAGACAGTCCAGGTCACGCTGACATCAGAAGGGTGGTGAGTACCACTGCCCAGAAGACCTTTAGTTTGGTGGTAAGGCTGAGGCCCTTCCACTTCCAGACATTCTCACAGAATTTTCCAAAGACAGCGCTGGCCTTGGCGATCCTACTGTTGACTTCCACATCTATGTTCGCCGCTCTTGAGAGTATGATGCCAAGATTGGTGACGTTGTCGACTACCTGCAGGTTCTACCCCTTGACAGTGATGTGCGGTTCCTGGTAGGCTATTCCAGGTGCGGGTTGGTTCACGACTTTTGTCTTTTTGGTGCTGATGATGAGACCGATGTTGTCACAGGCTTGTGAGCAGCAGTCCATTTCGTGCTGCATCATTTGCTCTTGGCTGGCGTTGAGGACACAGTCACCAAGGAACAGAAAATTTCTAATGACAGTTTCCTTCACCTTTGTAAAGGCCTGCAGACGCCTGAGATTGAACAGCCCACCAGCAGTCCTTTATATGATGGGAATTCAATCTTGGAAATCACTGAGGGCATCAGTAAGCATGGCCTAGAATACCATTCTGACGAGTGTTGGGTCGAGAACGCAGTCTGCTCCACACCGTTCGCCACCGGGTTGGCTTTTGACTCATTTGCATCATCCAGCTCATTCGCCATCATGCCATTGTGGAACTGCCAGCCAATTGCAGTGAATTTGCCAACACAGCCAAACTTCTTCATTATCTTCCATAAGCTATCTCTGCTGACTGTATTGAAGGCTTTGGTCAGGTCAACGAAGGTCACGAAGAGGTCGCGATGTTGCTCTTGGCATTTTTCTTGAACCTGGCGTGCAGCAAATTTCATATCGACAGTTCTGCATTCTGTGGGGAAGCCGCATTGGCTTTTTAGGAGGAGACCCTGCTCAAGGTGTTGAAGGAGATGGTTGAGCAGGATACGAGCCAGGATCTTCCTAGCAATGGACAGGAGTGAAATACCCAGGTGATTATAGCAAGACTGGCAGTTGCCTTTCCTTTGGTAGATGTGAATTATGCTGACATCTTTTAACTGTTGTGGGACCTTCATTCCACTTGGACAGGAAGAGCTTTGTCAGTTTCTGCATCACAGTTGGGCCTCCTGTTTTGTACAGGAGCAGACTATGTCTAAGGCACTTTTTCTAGACCCTTCCTTCATGGAGGTGAGCAGAGTATGTTTTGAAGAGGGCTTCTCAGATACCCAGGGGGTTGCCGAACTCTGCTGCTGCTTCGGTCTAGTAGAGAGCGATCCTATGCTGAGCCTCCTGTGTGCAGGTTTGTAAAGGACGTACAAGACTTGAGGTTTTGCAGTATAGGTTAAAGTCATAATTTTCACTTGACTTGGATTAAAGTGAGGGAGACTTGTGCAAATCGTTAGTCTCACACTCTTGTCCCAGCTCATCTGGATCCAACGGCAGGACAAGTCAAGACGGCAGGAAATAGGTTAGCCTGCAGTGGATGGCCAGCAGTGTCCTGTGTATCTCACTGTACCCTAGTTGTGCTCCACAACACTTTGCTGGTCCGCCTTCCTGCCCGTTGAACCATTCTGGTGGTTTCCTCCGTGCAGTCCACCGGCCCCAGTCTTCGCATTCATAGGTAGACAAGCCTTAACTCTCCATGGATCTCACATCGTCGGCTACACTCACCTAGTTTTGCCTACCAGTCGAAGCGGTTAACGGGTTGTGACCGCTGTTGCATGCAAACTGGTACTTGGAACTACAGGTGAGAGTTGAGTGCAGTTGGAGACCAAAGCAGACGAACCACCCGAAGGTGCGACTGTTCCCTGTCAGCAGTACCACCTCTCACTGACACCCCATAAACTTCCACCTAACACATCTAACATACTCTCTCTTAATACACAGGTACCTAACATACACCCACCTAACATGTCCAAATGTCCTGAATTACCTGGAACATGGCATTTGAATCAACTTCTTTTCTTCCAACAGCGTGTCAGCGCTGTGGTGGCGGTGCTGGCTTGCCTGGCCGCTGCTGATGCCATTGAGAAGCGGACAATTAGCACTACAGCTTTTGGCGACGCCTTTGAGTCTGCTGCTGATATAATTTTTTCTGGACTTCGAGCAAAATCTGGATTCGGAAGTAGTCGTGTGACTGGAGGAGGAGCAGGAATAGGAAGTGGCGTTAGGATTGGAGGAGGAGGTGGAATAGGAAGTGGTCTTGGGATTGGAGGAGCTGGATTAGGAAGTGGTCTTGGAATAGGACACCTTGGATTAGGGAATGGTAATGGAATTGGGGGAGTTGGGTTAGGTGGTGTTGGAGGCATTGGAGGGGTTGAGGATAAATTGGACGATATTGAAGATAAAGTGGAAGTTGTTGAAGAAGCTGCTAGTGGAGTACTAAGTGGTGTTGCAGGACATGGTGGTGTTGGAGGACTTGGTGGTGTTGGAGGACTTGGTGGTGTTGGAGGACTTGGTGGTGTTGGAGGACATGGTGGTGTTGGAGGACTTGGTGGTATTGGAGGACATGGTGGGGTTGGAGGACTTGGTGGTGTTGGAGGACTTGGTGGTATTGGAGGACATGGTGGTGTTGGAGGACTTGGTGGTGTTGGAGGACATGGTGGGGTTGGAGGACTTGGAGTGGTTGAAGATAAATTGGACGTTGTTGAAGATAAAGTGGAAGATGCTGCAGAGCTTGCTGTTGCTGGAGCTGCTACAGCCATTGGAGGAGCTGGTTCAGCTGCAGCCATTGGAGGACTGGCTGGTTCAGCTGCAGCCGTGAAGGAAGAAGTGGCTGAGGAAGTGGTGGAAGGTATCGCAGACTTGGCACTAGGAGCAGCAGCAGCAGTAGGCGGCTCTGGTGTCAGTGTTGTTGAATCCAGCGCCGAAGGCGGACTTGGTGGAGCCGGCATTGGTGGTCTTGGGCATGGTGTTGGACTCGGTGGTCTTGGGCACGGTGTTGGACTCGGTGGTCTTGGGCACGGTGTTGGACTCGGTGGTCTTGGGCACGGTGTAGGACTCGGTGGAGGTGGTCTTGGGCACGGTGTTGGACTCGGTGGAGGTGGTCTTGGGCATGGTGTTGGACTCGGTGGAGGTGGTCTTGGGCACGGTGCTGGGCTCGGTGGAGGAGGTATTGGTGGTCTTGGGCACGGTGGAGCCAGCATTGGTGGTCTTGGGCACGGTGTTGGACTCGGTGGAGGCGGTCTTAGGCACGGTGCTGGGCTTGGTGGCGCCGGCATTGGGGGTCTTGGGCACGGTGGATCTGGCATTGGGGGTCTTGGGCACGGTGGATCCGGCATTGGTGGTCTCGGTGGGGTTGGTCTCCGTGGAGGCAGCATTGGTGGTCTTGGACACGGTGGAGCCAGGATTGGTGGTCTTGGCGGGCTTGGACACGGTGGAGCCGGCATTGGTGGTCTTGGCGGGCTTGGGCACGGTGGAGCCAGCATTGGTGGTCTTGGACACGGTGGAGCCAGCATTGGTGGTCTTGGACACGGTGGAGCCAGCATTGGTGGTCTAGGACACGGTGGAGCCAGCATTGGTGGTCTTGGACACGGTGGAGGTGGAATCGGAGGGGCCATTGGATCTGTGGTCAATAATGGGCTCAGAAAAGGACAAATCGTGGGAGTCAGCACAGTCTTAAGAGGTAAGCAATATTCTTACAGTTGAGGGACCGCTCAGGGCTCCACTTTGTTGTCTCTTGCATAAATGATTCAGAAGTTTGAGATCATTATTGCAATGTAAGCACATTATAAAATTATACTAATAATAATATAAAGATTCTACAAGGAGGACTAGTAAATATTGTATAATAATATAATTATATATACTGTTATCTATATTTTTGGGTTAGTTGGGTGTAAAACCCAACTCACTCACTCACAAACTTGTTTATATATATATAGATATATATATATATATATATATATATATATATATATATATATATATATATGCGAACAAGCCTGAATGGTCCCCAGGACAATATGCAACTGAAAACTCACACCCCAGAAGTGACTCGAACCCATACTCCCAGGAGCAACACAACTGGTATGTACAAGACGCCTTAATCCACTTGACCATCACGACCGGACATAATGAGGTGATAGCCGAGGCTATTTGAACCACCCCACCGCCGGCACTCGGATAGTTATCTTGGGCATAGCATTTTACCAAATCACCTCATTCTTTGGGGCACACGTGAGGAACACAAATGCGAACAAGCCTGAATGGTCCCCTGAATGGTTCAGTTGCATATTGTCCTGGGGACCATTCAGGCTTGTTCGCATTTGTGTTCCTCACGTGTGCCCCAAAGAATGAGGTGATTTGGTAAAATGCTATGCCCAAGATTACTATCCGAGTGCCGGCGGTGGGGTGGTTCAAATAGCCTCGGCTATCACCTCATTATGTCCGGTCGTGATGGTCAAGTGGATTAAGGCGTCTTGTACATACCAGTTGTGTTGCTCCTGGGAGTATGGGTTCGAGTCACTTCTGGGGTGTGAGTTTTCAGTTGCATATTGTCCTGGGGACCATTCAGGCTTGTTCGCATTTGTGTTCCTCACGTGTGCCCCAAAAAATGAGGTGATTTGGTAAAATGCTATGCCCAAGATTACTATCCGAGTGCCGGCGGTGGGGTGGTTCAAATAGCCTCGGCTATCACCTCATTATGTCCGGTCGTGATGGTCAAGTGGATTAAGGCGTCTTGTACATACCAGTTGTGTTGCTCCTGGGAGTATGGGTTCGAGTCACTTCTGGGGTGTGAGTTTTCAGTTGCATATTGTCCTGGGGACCATTCAGGCTTGTTCGCATTTGTGTTCCTCACGTGTGCCCCAAAGAATGAGGTGATTTGGTAAAATGCTATGCCCAAGATTACTATCCGAGTGCCGGCGGTGGGGTGGTTCAAATAACCCCAGAAGTGACTCGAACCCATACTGCCAGGATCCCTTAACCGCTTTACCAACATAACCGGACAAAAGAGGATGGTAGCTGAAGCTATTTCCATCCCCCGCCGGCACTTGGTTGATATTCTTGGGCATGGTATTTTATCAAATCACCTCATTCTTTGGGGCACACGTGAGGAACACAAATGTTGGTGTTGCATATGGTCAGCAGTAATTTAATTTGAGTAAACATCGTTTTTGATTATACAGTAAAAATGACGAATGCCTCGTTGAGGTCGACCAGAGATTTGACAAAGCTTAATTACATTTCAATCTTTACATCTTCATAAAATGAATTACTCTATTCAAGGGCAATATTAGGAAAGGTATATGTTTATCTCTCAGAATATTCGGTAATACGTTTATTGCTTGTGATGTGTGTATATGTATGTATTAACACAATGTACTGAACGGGGTGAGAATAGCTTGAGCTACCTCATCCCTTTGTGTGTATTTTACATCAATAAACTTATTTCAATTTCAATTTCAACTATTAGAAAACAGACATTCAGGCCAATGGCAAGGTAAACAACAGTATTACTCTCCTCTAACTCGGGGAACAGAGAAAGAGGCGACATTCCATCCAGGAGTACCATTTATTTCCAAACAGCAATAGCCACAAGAGTGCAGGGCTGGTTGATTACATAACCTAAGACAGCAATAGGCAACAGAATACAGGGCTTGACATTTACATACACCTTACTATGACACCAGATGAGTGTATCAAAAGTAGAAATCCAGTTATATATCATTGAACAGTCTCAATGAAGACTTAAAAATGAATCCAGTTTATACTTGCAAGGGCAACCGTTAAGGGTATTGGGACAACTATTAGTTAAAGCAGATTCAATAAAATTTCATTCAACAAAATTCTTGCAATGAGCAATGCATTTTGAGTAGCACCAATCAATGGAATGCTCGTAAAGGGGACGAGTTAATGCCATGCACTGGACTGTTGTGCAATTCTAATTGAGTAACAATGATGAGAAAAGCGAGATTCTAATTTTTTATTAGTCTGGGTAATGTAACTGGTAAGAACAGACTAACTCATTTACTGTAATGGAAAGTTGTTAATATGTGAGGTGTCACTGCACGCTCCACTGTGCCGGCTTGCGTTGAGGATGTTTTGCAGCGGTTCTCGTTACCCCAGTTTTTGTTTCAGTTTAATTGAGGCCTGTACTTTAGTTTGGTCTTGGATTTGACATTTGTAATGAAACCTTTGGTGAGACTTGCGTTTATATGTAGAAATATTTGGTCAAACTTGCCATCGGGATGGCAAGTTAGGAAACTTTGGGGGATGGAAGATTTTGTTCAACTTTGCCATTGTGATGAAAACTTTGCTCATCCATGTGTGAGGGGTACACCTGCTCAGCCTTGCCATGTGTAAGGGAACACCTGCTCAGCCTTGCCATATGTGAGGGAACACCTGCTCAAACTTGTCAGGTGTAATAAACTTTGACTCAGACTTGCCATATGTGTATAAAGGCTGTCTGATAAGACTAAAACTTTCTCTGAATTTATATTTGTCAAAACAATTGTACAAGCAAGAGAAAATTTATATTAAATATTAAAGCAAAATTGCTGGAGTAGAGCGGAGATTGAACCAGCGTCTTGGCGACTGTCAGATATGTGCCCCTCAGCCATGACATGCTAAAAAGCTATTCAACCCCGGACACTACTGTATTCGCTAAGTATTTTGCAGGCCCCATCTGTTGCCACAAAAATGTTATGAATAGCCCGCTTGCACTCTGGAGTAGGTATGGCGTTCTCTCCCATTTTGCTCCCTTCAGATAAACAAGGAAATCAAAATAGCATGATACAGAGTCCTTAGAGGACACAGTAGTATCTCGAGTTGAATAACTTTCAGTATGTCGCGGCTCTTGCACATGTCTGGCAGTCACAAAGACGCTGGTTAAATCTCTTCTCTGCTCCAACGAATTTCTCATTGATATATACGCTATGGTGATTCCCTTGTGTATTATTATTATTATTATTATTATTAGTATAATTGTTATTAATATTATTATTAGCAACGGTTTCTTTATAAGCATTAGCAACAGCATTTTGATGTTGAAATTAGCAATGGTAATATTCATGACAATAATAATGTTAGTAAAATCAATAAATTTATTAATAACAGTGTCCAAATGATTTACGAGAAATCGAATAGTTTCTACATCACAAGGGTAAACTCTATAATCATTTCAAGTACAAGTAAATAAAAGATTCTGTTTCGAACCTTTGACGAAGCTCTCAAGCGCTGAACAGGTGATGAACGGGTGGGAAGTGTTCCAGCTTGAGGCCGCATGACTGCTCGGGCGACACTTTATATTCCTTTGATCTCTTTTTCTTCAGGCGGCAACCATGGCTTCCCTCGCACTTACTATGGAGGTCTCAGAAGCCTCGGAGGCCATGGAAGCCTAGGAGGTCTTGGAGGTCACGGAAGCCTTGGAGGTCTCGGAGGCCATGTAAGACTTGGAGGTCTCGGAGGCCACGGAAGCCTTGGAGGTCTCGGAGGTCACGTAAGACTTGGAGGTCTCGGAGGTCACGGAAGCCTTGGAGGTCTCGGAGGCCACGTACGACTTGGAGGTCTCGGAGGTCACGGAAGCCTTGGAGGTCTCGGAGGTCAAGTAAGACTTGGAGGTCATGGAAGCCTTGGGGGCATCGGAAGTCACGTAAGACTTGGAGGTCTCGGAGGTCACGGAAGCCTTGGAGGTCACGGAAGCCTTGGAGGACACATAAGACTTGGAGGTCTCGGAGGTCATGGGATCTACCGCCGTCCATATGGTGAGTGTTGTTTTCAACAGTATGTTTATTTTTTTATTTATATACATACAATAAGGTACATTGGATTGAGAAAGTACAAACATTGGGGTTAGAGTGTAACATTCTGCCACTAACACGCAGACCCTTAAGCTAATGATTAAAGGTAACAGAACTTTGAATTATACATAATTATTACATTACAGTTTGATAGAATAGATTAAATTTTTTGAAATTTAATTCCTTAAGTACTAAAATGAACTTAAGTACTTATGAACTTAAGTTGAACTTAAGTACTGAAAAATTGTCCAAGTAAATTCAACTTTACTCAAAATCCAACTTTATTCAAAACTAAAACCCAGGTTTTTAGTTTTGAATAAAGTTGGATTTTGAGTAAAGTTGAATTTACTTGGACAATTTTTCAGTTCATTAGGGAGTGAGTTCCATAGAGTGAGTCCTTTTATTTGCATGAAATGTTTGCGCAGATTCAGTCTGACTCTCGGGATATCAGAGATAATTATTTCTGGTGTGGTGTTCATGGGTTCTATTACATCTATCAAGGAAGAGTTTCATATCAGGATTAGCATTTAGGAATAAGGTTTTGTACATGTAAATAGCACAATAGAATATGCGGAGTGAGTGTACGTTCAGCATGTTTAAGGACTTAAACATGCTTAAGAGGAGCTGTGTGTTGTCTGAAGACAATTTTTGTTTATAGTTCTGATAGCAGATTGTCGCTGGGTGACGATGGGCTTGGGGTGATTTGGCAGTGGTTGTTAGGACAATAGGACATCATCATTAGCGTTATCCTTACCCGTATCTCCTACTCTCACGGGGCGGAGAGGCGTCACCTGGAGGGTAATGACAAGACATGTTGTCATTAGATGATAACATTACTCATAAATATTACAACCATATGAAAACACACACACACACACACACACACACACACACACACACACACACACACACACACACACACACACACACACACACAAACTCACACACATACACACACAAGGGGCTTCATAGCTGACTAGACAGCACTCTGGACTCGTAATCCTAGGGTCCGGGTTCGATCCCTGGTGATGGCAGAAACAAAATGGGCGGAGTTTCTTTCACCCTGATGTCCTGTTACCTAGCAGTAAATACGTACTTGGGAATTAGACAGTTCTTACGGGCTGCTTCCTGGGTGTGTGTGTGTGTGTGTTAGGAAATTAGTTAGTTAGTAACAGTTGATTGATTGACAGTTGAGAGACGGGGATCGGCGTTCGATCCCTGACGATCCCAGTGGTTGGGCAACATTCCTTTCCCCCGTACTGTCCTGTCTCCTCGTACTCATATCCCCTTCCAAGTGCTGTATAGTTGGTCTGGCTTAGCGTTTTCTCCTCATATCTACCTACCTTGCTCAAAAAGAGACGCCTCAATAAGATTCCAGAGACGTTAGAAAGAATTTCATCAGTGTCAGAGTAGTTAACGGATGGAATACATTAGGAAGTGATGTGGTGGAGGCTGACTCCATACACAGTTTCAAATGTAGATATGATAGAGCCCAGTAGGCTCAGGAATCTGTACACCAGTTGATTGACAGTTGAGAGGCGGGACCAAAGAGCCAGAGCTCAACCCTCGCAAGCAAAACTAGGTGAATATAACTAGGTAAATATACTCTGGATAACATACACTCTGGACGACATACACCCGTGTATTTAGGCTCATCCACTCTGCCGCCGCCACCCGTCCTAACAGCACGTCGCATTTTGACGTATAGGCTACCTAAGGCCAAAAACTGTCGTACTAGAAAATGGTAGCGGCTCACGAAGCTGACACACTGTTCCGTTTTCTGTTGGTGGGTCTTCTGGTAGGTTAGGATAAGGCACTTTAGTACGAGTTTCTTGACGTTGGGAACGCTCGTGAGAACGGGCTGTCTGCCAAATCCCAAATTCATAACTTTTAACGTATTATGGTTGTAATATATTTTTTTTCTCAATTATAAATTTGTTATTATATTTTGGAATCTTGTTTATAGCTAGGTGTAGCTTAGGTTAGGTTAAGTGTTTAGGTTCTGTTGGCGATTATTTGTATTTGTAGTACGTTGGTGAAGCATTTACAGCGTTGTGGTTCGAACAAAAGTCGTCAGCGAAGCACTTGTTCCGGAAGTGTTCGGTTGTGATACGTGTATAAACCGTTTTTCATTTATAAACAGACAGTTTGGCGGATGAATTAACAAGCATTTGGGCTTTGTTTATGAAGAGGAGCTTGACTGTCTTTACCTCTTCCAACAGGTTACGGCTTCGGTCGGTAGAGCACCGCTCGCAAGCGTCCAGGGAGGCCAGCAGCTTCTTGTGTACTCTCCGGAAAAAAATAAATAATTTTCCATTGTTTAATCCCTGTTTTTTATTTTCAAAATACATATACACAATTATTAAAATATTCGAGATAATTAGAGCATTGTATAATATTCTGAATTGTTCTGTTGTATAAGGAACGCTGTTGAGAGAGAATTAGTTACCGAAATTTATACTCTCAAAACTTGGAAATGTTTGATTTTTTGCACAAAACTTACAATGTAGCAATGTTTTATAATTCTATGATTTATGAGTATTTATCGAGAGTATTACATGTTTTATGTTAGTGTTGTCTCGTCCAACATTAACACAACACTGATTCTGTTACTCTCAAGAAAGGAGACGAGAAAGGCATCGAATAATGTACACATGGACAATACTGGAGGGCCAAGTCCCAGGTTACACAATAGAATAACAACACTGGAGACGAAGAGTCACATCACAGTAACGTGGCTGAAGATATGATGACCAGAGCACATCACAATATGGAGAGACCAGGACATTCCAGTCCGTCTTGAACCACACACGACTTGAAAAGGGTCCAGGACCATTGTGTGGTCCAGAAACATTGTGGTTCAGGACCACAAGTTCGACCACAAGTTGTGGCCCTCACAACTTGTCCTCACAAGCTGTCCTCACCTCGCAATTTTGATGCAACTTATCACTGCATTAAAATTCTGTTGCTTCAATGAAACTAAAAGCTTCGTTATACTGACGCTCCTTCGGGCCAACTGAGCATCCGGTTGCGATACTTGGGTGGGCTGCGGAGGTGCACAGGGCGCGTCAGTCTGTCCGTCAGTGTGTGTACGTCGGTCTGGGCGTGAGTCTGTATGTCAGAGTGTACGTCAGTCTGGGCGTCAGTCTGTATGTCAGAGTGTACGTTAGTCTGCGCGTCAGTCTGTGAGTCAATCTGTGAGTCAGTCTGTCCATCGGTTTGTACGTCAGTTTATACCTTAGTCTGTACGTCAGTCTGTATGTAAAGTCTGTCCGCCAGTTTGCGCGTCAGTTTGTACCTTAGTCTGTACGTCAGTCTGTGCGTCAGTCTGTGCGTCAGTCTGTATGTCTGACGTACAGAAGTCTGTGATCTGAAATCACAGACTTTCTATGAATAATAATAATAATAATAATAATAATAATAATAATAAAGTTACAATAATAATCAAGAGAGCAGGTCGTGGCCTCCTACCCCCATGACGACCACATAACCTAAAACACATCAAACCGTCAACTTTCAACTTTCAGAGAAGTGGGGCGTGAGGCCAGCTGCCCACCTCCACGTCCGCTGCATAAACCGGTTAGGCACAAAGTAGCACGATATGAGCACATCATGTGATCACACAGCTTAAATAAGCTTAAATATGTCATTACTTTTTTGTTAATATTTGAGGTCTGGTGAACTTTCACAAGAAGTTAGTGAGCGCTTGAGCAACAAGTACACAGGATGTTAGTGAGCGCTTGAGCAGCAAGTACACAGGATGTTAGTGAGCGCTTGAGCAGCAAGTACAAACATCGTGTACTCCAGTTGCAGGTTGGGAGAAAGTGCGTGGATATAAGTCTACTTCAAAAGTCATGGAAGCAAGTGGCGACGGAGAATACGGACTCGTTACATTGCACAGTAGTTGAGATATCGTAATCCTATGCAATTGATAGCTTAAGTGCTTGTTGAAGGTGGAGTCATTATGTCTAAGGTATCCAGTGCCGTGCAACCGATATTTGTTACATTAGTGATCGTAATATGTGCGTCTAGCGATGCTCAAACACCGCGCACACACACACACATACAAATTTCTCAATGATTCTACTTTTACAACAACACCCACAACTGTCCGAGGTACCATAACTACCACACCCACAACTGTCCGAGGTACCATAACTACCACACCCACAGGTGTCCGAGGTACCATAACTACCACACCCACAGGTGTCCGAGGTACCATAACTACCACA